GTATTGCGTCCATGACTGTGCCTGTGTACATTGCTGAAGCTTCCCCTCCTCACCTCCGGGGGCAGCTGGTCACAGTGAACACACTCTTCATCACGGCTGGACAGTTCACCGCCAGCCTCATCGACGGGGCCTTCAGCTACCTGCAGCGCGGCGGCTGGAGGTAACGCCACAGTTTGAGCCTGGTTTCAAGGCTTCTTCTTGTTGTTTCTTGGGTGAAGTGGCAACTGTGGCTTCAACAGGGGTTGGACCTTCCATTAGGCAAGGAGAAGTTCCCTACCTGGGGCCCCCTAATACCAGGGCCTCCCAAGGACCTATCTCTCCGACATAAGGGTCAGGGTAGTATTCTTAACCCTTTAGGCGCCAGAGGTTTTTTCCTAAGAGGCTCATCTTTATTTCTTTATAAGTTAAAAGTGATAAACAATAGAAGCTTTATTTAAATTAGAGACATTATTATAATTAAATTAAAGATGCCTTCAGTGATTTTTTCCAAAAAAGTTTTTAGATATTGTGGGAAAATATCCCTAAACCCTAACAGTAATCAAGTTATCATGTGTTTTCAAATAGTAATGGAATTGACCAGATGCCTCCATCCATCCATCCATCCATCCAAATATTTTGGAGCGGACCGATAAAAATAAACCAATGTGATTTTTTCTTCCCCAAAGAAACAATGGGATGCGTTTACCCCTTCACCAACTTCCTGTTTCTCGCAAGTGCGCGCACCTCAAGCCCCGGCGATCCAAGATGGCGCCGTATTCAAATGAATGGGTTGTGCTCAGTGGCGCATTGTGCCGGCATGGGCGCCGAAAGATTAGCGGAACTTGCCTGGAACTCTCAAAGATCCATGGGAATTCGCCTTTATTTGGACATCGTCAAGTCCTCCCGGTTCTGTGTAGTGGATGCTCTCCCAAGATGCGTTGCGCCAAATACGCGTGTGTGGCTGTCATGCACCTGCGCAGAGGGGCTCGGCCGCGCTCTGACCCATCAGAACTGCTCATCAGAGTGGGAGTTAGAGCGGGAGCCAAACGGGCAGAGTTTGTGGCACTAAAGTGTGGATTTAAAGAAAACCGAAGGATTTAAGAAGAAAAACAAATCAGGATGACAAGGGATACTAAAATCCCCACAAAATCCGACCTTTATGAAAGCTGTAGGTTCTCTGTCAGCTGAGGTCGAGCTGTTCTAATTTACATTGAGTTCTATGGGGAATATTTCTGGGTAGCCCATGTGAATTTAGTCTGGTTTAGTCTGCAGTACCGCAAGAATCCCCCGAGCACATGGGTCCTTCAATTCCAAGCTAGTAATACCCTATCCAGTTATTATAATAGATCCATGGCGCACCTGAGTTATGGCTGAACAGAAAATGCCAATTTCACGTTTGCCACCCACTCTCCCTGTTGTGACCAAGAAAAGAAAAAGCTGGATGTTTGGTTTGGTGGAGAGGCGAGGGGAGGGGGAGAGTCATTTCCAGTTGGTGCTACGGCTAAGCTAGCAAAATCGCTTACTGCATCTTTAAGGATGGCCCAATGTTTATGTAGGAATTAAATGTACCCATCTAATTTGCATATTATGACTTCATATGGTTTTTTACTGACAGACATTCAAATAACTAGGACATGAACACACTAACATAACTCACACTGTACTACACTAAAGGGTCGGGGAAATAAAAACAGGGGGTCAAATAAAACAAATGAATTTTGACACCCTGCTTGACACAATCAGCCGTTTTAAACAGTACAGCATATTGTAGATTTAAGTCAACCGTGGCGTCGAGAGGGTTAAGTACTCTAAAACGTAAAAAAAAAAAACATGGATGGATCATGGCACACACCTCTCTCCTAATATCTAAAATGAACTCTTCCTCTGACGTTACCTTTGTCAACCAGAAGGATCTCATTACAAAAGTTTTCCTTTGGACTGACCGAGTGCTGATGTCCCCATAGTTTTTGCCGAATGTTGAAGAAGCCGATTTGAACATAAGCCAGCAGGACCAAATTCCTTTCTTCGCTTTTTCTTGCGACAGTGCTAAGCTTTGCGCTGTAATGGGGCAGACTTGTTGATAAGGAGGTTGTTTAGGCAAGCTTGAGTTTCCGCCACGAATGAGAGCATCTGATTGGTTAATCCTTATATGGCTCATACTGTATCTGGTATTATTCAAAGCTGCACTAACTGACTTTGAGAAATTTTCGAATGAGAGCGCCGAGCTCGCTCTCTCTACTCGCCGTCCCCGCACGGAGCTTTCCCCCATCACTACCCCCCTCCCCCTCAGCCTGCGCTCACATGCTAATTGTATATACGGAGCTCACGTCTTACAATATGGACATTTGAACGTGGATGGCGTGACCATAGAATGATTGAACCGGGAAGCGCTGAGGAACGAGACGTTCTTTTGGATGGCTGTTTCGCTAAGTAAGTAGTAACCGGTAACAAAGACACGGGAAGTTTCAGGTTAGCCTCCGCTGCTTGTTTACCTCAGCTGTCTGTGCTAACAAGAGACCTGTAGATTTTCTCAAGAAAGTAGGGGCCAGTGGTCCGCTATGATTGGTCACAATCTGGACCCAAAACACATTATCTTCCTTGTTGCACCAAAACTCGATCTAAAATAAAATGACACGACAGTTCAAATCTGCGTTACTTTTTCTTCAAAAGGACGTATATCCCAATGCACTACATGGATATGGATTGCATTTTCGTAATGAATACAAAAATAAAGTCAGTCAGTGCAGCTTTAAGACACGACCAACATAAACTGAACAATTCTCATAACAGTGAATAGGACTGATATAACACCACAGCCATTGTGTCATTGAGCACTGCATTAAAACTGCCTATAGCCCTCCATACCTATGTATATAATTGTGAGACTTATCTCCAATGTGCACAGCTGATTGTTCACCAAATGCCAGAAAAAGTCAGTCAATTTGAAATGTCACCGTTTATCTTAATGTCATGCTAGCGGTAACATTGTGACGGAGCGGGGTACAGTGGAAAGATGAGCCTCTCCTGCAGTGTGCGGTACCTTTTATCTTTAATCCCAATTGACTCTGCTTTATCTGCTTTTCTGTCACATGCACGTTGAGTTTGGACGGAGCGGGGTACAGTGGAAAGATGAGCCTCTCCTGCAGTGTGCGGTACCTTTTATCTTTAATCCCAATTGACTCTGCTTTATCTGCTTTTCTGTCACATGCACGTTGAGTTTGTGAACGCCGTCTCATCTCAAAATCACTTGTTTAACTGAAAAAAGGCAGAGAATTGAGGACTTTAGCTGGTACTAATGTCACAAAGCGTTTGAAGAATAAAGCTGTTTGCTATTCTATGTGAATAGTTGCAATTAGAAAATTAGAAAACAGTTTTACTAATTAAGGATAATAGATACACAGAGACAATATTGTTCTTTGTGACTTATACTGTACATATTTTATGATTAAAATGAGATATTTGGTTAAAAAAAACAACTTAGAATAGATACAGAACGGGATATGTGCAGAAGCTAGTCTTAATGTTTTTAGGTTTGCTTTACTTCCTAAAAGTAATCAGTGCTTGAATAGAACAGGATCAGTATATTCATCTCTATGGGAAATCATGTTGCCTGATTCTGGGGAAATGAGAGCTACTATTAAGGGTTGTTCAACAAACCAAGGAAAATTATTTAATCCACCACGAGTGAGAAGAAAATAAACCACTCTTGTTTACAGTTAGAGTAGCCTGGCTATCCTAGACTACATATCAATGTCAATGTTAATGTCAACTTTATTTGTATAGCACATTTACATGAACACCAGCTTCCCAAAGTGCTTCAAATTCACAAAAAAAAAAAAACAAAAAAAATACAGAATTAACTACTAGTGACATGTAGTATGGGAACATTCCATTCATTTTCTCGTAGAAAAGGTGTGGTTTATGACTGACCTTAGCCACTTAATGGATTCTAAATGTATCTCCTATGCCTCTGAACAAATGTGCTAATTGTATCAGTTTTACCCAATAACGTATATACAGTAGGTCCCATTTCGTTTTGTCGCCTTTCACGCGTGAATCACACGAGACTCATGTGTGATTCACGCGTCTTTTATTTTCCTTCCCCCCAGTGACGCTGCAATGACCAAAACAACCATCAGGTGGCACTTGTGAGCAGGGTTACATTGGCGTCTCATCGCTCTTTCTTCTCTCTTCACCAGACAACTATCTGTGGCTTTAAGCCTAGCGTACTGTACATCGGACTGATTATATCCGTCGCCTATGAGTTTCTGCCCCGCGCACATCGACAATCTGGTTAAAACGGGCAACTCCTTGTAGCAGGCCAGTCTCTGGAATAACCCGCAGACATTAAAACTACTGCATATAACGTAAACTTTTGCATCACGTTGGTGATCTTTCCAAAAAGAGAGAATATCGTTATGAAAAGAGAAACTATTGGTAATATAACGCTGAACGTTATCTGACTCAAACAGCTCCGCTGGTGTCTCCTCCCACTCAGAAAAAAAGCAGACGCCTTTTCTCTGGCATCTCTAACATTTATAATAAATACATAAATATAACAATCATAATGAAGATGCTTTCAAATAATTTAGCAAGCTGTAATTCATTTATTTTAACTCCACACGGCTCCTCCCCTGCCAAACTTCTCTCGCTGCTCTCTCCTCCGCAAACCACTAAATGAGGAAAAGGGAATATTCACTCAATCTATTTTGAATGTTACACATACAATATTAATATAGTCTAAGCACGTGTAACACCTGTAGCCCGTGTATTTACCACAGACTGTAAGTATTAAAGTAATGAGGCCCCTGCTTTAGGCCTCTGCTGTGAGGCCCTAATGTACCTACCAGTAGCGGCGCCAGGTTTGCAATTTTGGGTAGGCCTGCAGATTAGTAAGTAGGCCAAATTCGCTTGCAAACTACAAAGGCTAGCTGGAATTGGGGTTTCAAAGAATATGGCTCAAACGCACACACGCACGCACGCAAACGCACACACGCACGCACGCACACGCACTCACGCGCGCACATACACACAAGCTCATTTATGAAACTTGCGTAGAAAAAGGTGTACATTTTGGGTGTATATCCATTTACGCAAAATCCACTGTCGGATTTATGAACATGTGAGATCCGCCCAGATCTGAGCGTACGCAGCTGCGGGTGTTGATAAATCGACTGAATACGAA